CCTTCGCCTGGATCCCCTGCAGAGTCCCATTGCCCCTGCACCCGGAACCCCCCAAAGAGCTCCCCGCGCACCCAGACTGCCCCACCGAGAACCCTCTCGCCCCCCAAAGTCCCTCGCCTGGATCCTGTTAGGCTGACACCTGCTGCACCTGTCACTGCCTGGCAGGCCCGGCCCTCACTGCCCTGTCCCTGACTGCAGGGGTGGGGACTTCAGGGTGATCTCCCACCTCCGTGCAGCCAGCGGCCTGTGCTCTCCACGGCCAGGCTGGAGCCAGGTTTATTTATTAACCACTGAAACGTGCAGAATTTCGAAATACTGTGCGCAGGGTTGTGAGGCTCAGAGTTGCCTCCGAAATAGGGCCAGTAGGACTGTGCTCAGACCTGCTTTTGTTCACCTGGGGTTTGAGCGTGTGTGTCTGGTAATCCCAGGTTAGCCATTGTTGAACCTGAGTCCCTTTCCGGGACGTTCCGTGAGCCTGAGTCCAACCCCCCATCATCCAGACTTCCTAGCATCCTCCCAACCCGTGGCTCCTCTAGTTCCTTGTGGGAAAACTTGACTCTCCGGAGGACAAAGAAAGTCGGACCATGGGATTGTGGGATACATCTAGGGGTGTGTCTACACTAGCCCCCTAGTTCGAACTAGGGAGGCTAACGTAGGCATTCGAACTTGCAAATGAAGCCCGGGATTTAAATATACCGAGCTTTATTTGCATGTTCCAGTCCGGCCACCATTTTTAAATGCCACTAGTCCGGACTAACTGCCCGCAGCTTCACGTGGCAGTTAAACGGTAATTCGAACTAAGTCCTTAGTTCTAATTACCTGTTACTCCTCCTGGCTAATGCTTACATTAGCCTTCCTAGTTCAAACTAGGGGGATAGGGTAGACATACCCTAGCACACTCCCACGGCATGAGACCAACAGGGCTGCACCCTTGTTGCATAGCAATAGGGTTTGAACCGGCGGGTCCCAGCTTGACTCAGGCTTGGCCTTTCCGCTCCTGCTGGGTCCTGGGTCCACGCTCCGGGTCAGGCTGTTTGTGTGTAGTCAGAATGGGTGTAGGCTTCACTCTGAGTTCAAACCCTAGACTTAAACTGCAGTGTAGACCTCTCCAGAGCAGGCCTTCTTGAGAAACAGTGAAAGGTCTGAAAACATGAGGCAAGGCTGAAGGAATTGGGCTTGTTTAGCTCGGAAAAGAGAAGATTGAGGAGGGACATGAGAGCGGTTTTCAAGTATCTAAAAGGGCGTTACAAGGAGGAGGAGGGAGAAAAATTGTTCTCCTTGGCCTCTGAGGATAGGACAAGAAGCAAAGGGCTTAAATTGCAGCAAGGGAGGTTGAGGTTGGACATTAGGAAAAACTTCCTAACTGTCAGGATGGTTAAGCACTGAAATAAATTGCCCAGGGAGGCTGTAATCTCCCTCACTGGAGATATTTAAGAGCAGGTTGGACAGACGCCTGTCAGGGAGGATCTAGACAGTGCTTGGTCCTGCTGTGAGGGCAGAGGACAGGACCTCGAGGTCCCCTCCAGTTCTAGTGTCCTATGATTCTATGAAAAGATGTGTGCCCGGAACAAGGGCAGGAACTAACTTCTCACCATTAGGTGGCAGCAGTGGGGCACTTGGTCCGAGTTTTTCCAACTTTCGATGTTTGTTAAATAGCTGTAGCTTGAGTTGGACTGGAGTTGTGATGAGAGGCACTGGCAGGTAGGGAACATTCCATGTGCTCTATAAACCTGGACTGAAAATAACTTCAGTCCCAAACGCCCAAGTCCCTTTGTTTTTGAGTAGAAATGGGGGATGCCAAGGGCAGGGTTCAGAAGCCTGGGTTGTCTCTGTGGGCGTGACCGTCGTTGTTTCGCCGGCATCCTGCCGTCTAGGAGTTCATGAAGAAAGTGGAAGAAAAGCGAGCGGATGTGAATGCGGCAGTGGGGATGGGAGAAGTTATCCTGGCTGAGTGTCACCCGGACTGCATCACCACGATCAAACACTGGATCACCATCATCCGAGCCAGGTTTGAGGAGGTGAGTCCTAGGGGACCCTGTCTCCTTGGGTAGAGGGAAGGCTCTTTCTCGTCCCCAACGTGCGGGGGACAATCAGACTCTTCCACAATCAGGCTCTTCTTTTGGCCGTTTCTTTGTGGGGAAGTTCTCCGACCTGCGTTAGTTGGGCGGACAAGATGATCGCAGTGGAACTTCCTGGCCTCGGGACCTAGGAAGCAGCAGGGCATGTATGAGCTAAACTGGATTCCTCTCCTGAGTTCTAGATGCCCTGGTCCTGTCCGCTTGGATCAGTTCTCGCAAAGGATCGTGCGTCAGCCAGTGAGCCAGTAGGAGTGGTGGCTGCCTTGTTTTCCTTCTGGCTGTTGGTTTCCTTTTCTCCCCAGGGGAGCATCCCAGAATAAGTGCCTCTATTTCTCATGCTGACGGCAGCTCTTGTTGGTGTTTCCGTCAGGTTCTGACCTGGGCAAAGCAGCACCAGCAACGGCTCGAGACGGCGCTTTCAGAGCTGGTGGCTAACGCTGAGCTCTTGGAGGAACTCTTATCGTGGATCCAGTGGGCCGAGACCACGCTGATCCAGCGGGATCAAGAACCAATGCCACAATACATCGATCAGGTCAAAGCCCTCATCTCGGAACACCAGGTAATGCCCCAGCTGATACCTACTGACTTCCTCTCTGCCCGGCTCCTGGGACAGGGAGTCTGGTCTTTTGTAACAGCCACCTTTCTTGGAAAGAGGTTGGATTACTTCATGATCTTATCACAGCCAGACCTGTCCCCAGGGCTGTCTGTAAGATTTACCGGGCCCTATGCAGTACTATTAAACTGCTGCCCCTATGCCTGACAGCAGCAGTGCAGCGGCTGGGAGATTTCTCAGAGATGTTATTTTATAATTTTCAGCACGTGAATGGTAAATTTTAAATGTAGGTCCTGTACACTAACACAGTAAATACAGGAACTGGTCGTGTGTACCTGCTGAATGCCTTTTTTCACAGGTTCAGTGTTCTGCTGTTAGATCTGCTTTTCCCTTTTAAGGGTATGTCTACACAGCAGCGTTAGTTCAGAATAACTGACAGTATTCTGAAATAACACAGTGCACGTCCACACTACAAGCCTTTACTGTATTTCGAAATAATGTCGAGCTGGAGGACGGCTTACGCCGACTCCTGTAACCCGCATTTCACGAGGAGTAAGGGAAGGCGAAGGGAGAGTGCTCTTCCTTTGACTTCCTACTGTGGAGACAATACCAAAAGCCGAATCCAGCTATTTCACCTTAAGCTGCGTGATTGATGTAGCTGAAGTTGCGTGGCTTAATGTGACGTTAGTCCTGCAGTGTGGATGTGCCCTAAGTTAACTAGATCAACTGTGAGGAATCAGAGCCACAGACCTGGGCTAGGGGGAGGCCGGTAGGTGGACATTAAGACCCAGCGGTGCACGGATTTTCAGATGCCCTACGCAGCTGCGTGTTCTGTGTATCGGCCCTGTCCATCACATTTAATGCTAGGAACTGAATTCCACTCAGCACAGGGGGCAAAATATCAGGACTGGAGATCAAACCCGCAGCGATGGAATAAGCTTTCCCACAAAGCCACTCCGCTGCTATTCAGTCTGTGCTCGCGCGTCTGCTCCGGACTTGGACTTTCTCCGCAGGAATCCTGAGCGACAGCAACCTAACGCTGAGCTGATCAATGTGACCGCTCTCTTCTCTTCTCCCTTTTGCCTTTAACAGTCTTTTATGGAGGAGATGACACGGAAACAGCCCGACGTGGACTGGGTCACTAAGACGTACAAGAGGAAAGCCACCGAACCAGCTCATGGAACGTTCATGGAGAAATCCCGCTCCAACAGTATGTTTGCAGCTTACGGCTATGTGCATCCTCTACAGCAGGGGTTCCCACCCTGGGTACGCGTACCCCCAGGGGGTACGCAAAGCTTGTCAAGGGGGTACGGGGAATATTTGGTAAATAACTAGATTGTCCTAATTGAAACTTTCCAAAAGTAGTCGTGTGAGTGAAAAAAGTTGTGGTTTCTAGAGTCTAGAATTTATTTCCTTTCATATTGAATAGGGGGTACGGGAAGGTTTACTAAAACCAATGGGGTACGGGGAGCAAAAAAGGGGGGAACCCCTGCTCTACAGGAATGAATTCTGAGGTGGGGCGGGAAACACACAGGAATCGCCTTTGCTTGGCTCTCATTCTCCATGAGCAAGACAACCTGCTTTGCCGGCCACTTGGAACTGGCTGGGGATTGCCAGGGGATGCGGAGGGGAAATGAGGCCGCGTTTGCAGCAGCGGCTGCCGTATGCGAAGAGCTTTTCTTCTCTGTCTTTAACTGGTCCAGTTCTGACCCTCGTTGCCCTAGCACGAAGATTTCCTCATGTCTGGTTCTTGCAGTGGAGAGCCCTGGGAGGCCTAGCTCAGGAAGACGACACCAAAGGGAAGCGGGGCGCGGGAGTTGCTGGGCGTGGGATGGCAGAGGAATGTCTGTAGAACTGCAATAGCCCCAGTTCTGTGGTGCTCAGCATTTCTTAACCTCCCCTTTTCTTTTGCCCACGTACTCCTTCCGGGAGAGAGGTTCTGTTGAAACAAACACAGCTGTTGTCTTTTCCTTTTCTGGGCTCCTCCAAGCCTCCACCCCAGGCAGCATGTTTCTCTGAGTCAGACAGCCCTTCCTGCCATGCCGGTTTTCTCCCAGTCGGAAGCCAAGAACCCCCGAATTAACCAGCTCTCGGCCCGCTGGCAGCAGGTGTGGCTGCGGGCACTGGAACGCCAGCGGAAACTCAATGACACGCTTGATAGGCTGGAGGAGGTAATGACCCCGCTGTGCTGTTACGCGAGGGGTAGTTTACCGTGAGAAAGCGTTTGCTGGACTCTCGAGAGAAGGGCAAAGCCTTACGTTAGCGCCCGCCTCTCAGACTGTGTTGTGCATGTCATGGGTTGTGACTGCCATGGTCCTCCACTACAGTAGTGCGGCTGAAAGCCACATTCCACAGTAACTGCAGGTTAACCTGACTGCTTGTTCTATTAAAGTCACTCTAGGTTGAACCTCTCTGGTCCGGCAACCTCCGTGGTCCGGCATGATGTGAGTTAGCCGGGTGTCCACTTATCATGGGTGTGGCCAAGTTTCCCGTAGTCCTAGAAAGTTTGTTTACAGCCCCCAGCCCTGGCTCTGTGTTCAATGCTGATATTTAGCTCGAATTTACCTCCTCAATGACTTCCAGGGGGCGGTGGAAGTGTTGGTAATGCTGCTAGACAATATTGACCTCCCAAGATCCAGCAAACTCTCTGGTTCGGCACCGGTCAGGTCCCCAGGGAGCCGGATTAGAGAGGTTCAACCTGTACTTCTGTTGCTAATCAAAGTCAGACCCAGCTGGGAGTACTGCTAATAGTCTAAAAAATACCGTGCTACTATGTATATATATTTTTTTTAAAACCTCTAATATAATTTTGTTTTTATTTATGCTTAACAAAGCAGCTATGCCCAGAAGTGAGTGTTTTTGTTTTTTGTTGCTTTTTCTGTAGGTCAGTTCAGTTTATCCGTATTAACGTTTTTCTTTGTTCCTTTTAACTCTGGAGCTTTTTTTTAAAGCACTAAAATGGTGTTGCTTTGAGCCACTCTGAACTCTTAGCTGAAGGGCTCCTGAAAATCAGTCCTAAATGTCCTAACCCTCAGCTTCACTAAGGGTGTGTCCACACAGCACCCTAAAGTAGAAATAAGACACACAATATGCACTGCGCAAATTGCATGTCTTATTTTCATTCTATTGAGAAATAGCTTATTTTGAAATTTGGCTCGTCTACACAGCGCCAGATTTTGAAATAACGCCCTATTTCGAGACATCCCTTAATCCTCATGGAACGAGGGCTACAGGGATGCTGAAATAGCACGCCCGTTATTTCGAAAAATACTTTGAAATAACGGGCAGCTTGTTAAGACACAGGGTAGCTATTTCGGAATACCTCTGGTATCCCAAAATAGCCGAGCAGTGTCGACGTCGCCTAACTGAACCGTGATTTAAACTGGTCTTAGCTGTTGGTGTGCACTGCGGTTCCAGGGAACTGCATTTAGAAGCATCATTTGGGTCTTGCGGCCAGGTCTGCAGAGGTGAGATGTATTTAGAGTCAAGTTGATGAAGGGGGAAAGGCAGGTTGATGTTGCTGGATTACATGTTCATGGAGCAACATTGCAATCCTCCTCAGAGGAGAAACTTCTGTCCTTCCTGGGAAAAGCCGCAGGAGCTCTGTTCTCAGCTGCCTAGGCAAAAAGTGAGGTAGAACAATGCAGATGTTCAATGTGGGAAAGGATTTGAAGTTCCAAAAATAAAGGAACCCTGTTCTTAGAAGTCTGAAAAGATATGACTTGTGTTTGTGTGTGTGCGTCCGTCCGTGTTCTATCTGCATACGTGCATGTTTAAAAATAAGGAGGACGCTTTGCTTTTTTCCTGAGTCTGTGATTGTGTGACACACTGTCCGTATGGCAGCTGTCGGACACGTTGTGGCCCCTGTTCTGTTACGGAAACGCTGTGGCTATGGGTTTCAGAGGAATGGCCTAATTACACATGGTGCATTGAAGAGGTGTGGGATAATCAGAAAGTTGCAGTCAGCCCCCAAATTTGACTTAGTCGCTGAACTCTTAGCTCAGCAAGATCTTCTGGGGGGCAGGAGGGAGTTTTCTGTCTGTCCCTTAGACTCCCATTGACTCGAATTGGCCTTTCAGTTGAAGGAGTTTGCAAACTTTGACTTTGACATCTGGAGGAAGAAATACATGCGCTGGATGAATCACAAGAAATCCCGGGTGATGGACTTCTTCCGGCGGATCGACAAGGACCAGGATGGAAAAATCACCCGGCAGGAGTTCATTGATGGAATCTTAGCATCCAGTAAGTCTTGATCTGTTTCATTCCATCCTTCTGCTACAGATGTCTAAGGTTAACCCGTCGGCATTAGGCTTACTGGTTAACTGGACCTGGTTCAAACCCTGGCGGTGGGCCAACAGGACCCCAACCATGGCTGCCCTGCACCAGCCCACCGGAGTGACCTCGGATAGTGGTTAAATGATACAATTTGAATTGTTAAACCGGTTAACTGGTTTGACCAATGTTTACATCTCTAGCTGCCGCAAAATTCTGTCTGTCAGAGGCTGGGAATGGGCGATGGGTGTGATTCCCTGTTCTATTCACTCCCTCTGGGGCACCTGGCGTTGGCCACTGTCAGCAGACAGGCCCTGGGCACGATGGACCTTTGATCTGACCCCGTCTGGACATTTTAATGTTCTTAAAACCTGATAAATCTGTCTCCGAGAAACTTTGTTCCCACCACTTTGGAGACAAATGCAATTCGCATTTCTTGCACCTCTGTCAGGGGAGGTCAGCGGTGAACTAATAGCACGGCAGTCCTGCCCCACACGTGAGCTATTGTTGCACCATGCCAAGAAGCTGGCGTTGCTTGAGGCCTGGGATCTGTATTATCCTTTGAAACTCCAGTAATTATGTAGCCTTGTTTCCTTTCGTGTGGCTATTGTGATGTAGACTCTGGATAAGGAAACGTGAATGTGGGGGGGGGGAATATTCTCTTTGCACAGCTGGTGAGAGAAGAGGATACAGGGAGGTATATGTTTTATTCCAGAGTTCCCCACCACGAAGCTAGAGATGACGGCCGTGGCTGACATCTTCGACCAGGATGGGGATGGCTATATCGATTACTATGAATTCGTAGCTGCTCTCCATCCAAGCAAAGACGCTTACCGACCGACCACAGATGCGGACAAAATTGAGGATGAGGTAACGGAGTTTCTAAGGAGAGTAGCATTTGAGTGGGTACCCTGGAGGGCTTCATTTTTCCCTATGGGTCCGCTTCTTAAATACATATCCAGAAAATGGTTGCTTGATGAGCACCCGGAGAATCCTAGAGGCACTGATCCACGATCAGTGTTCAAATGGAAAACGTTTTCAAGTGACCAGTTATATTGGACGCCCAGTATCCTGCATCCCATGTGTCCAGTACAAGAGCTGCTAATGATCAACCCCGATCTCTGTCCCTCTCGTTTTGCAACAGGTCACAAGGCAGGTGGCCCAGTGCAAGTGTGCAAAGAGGTTTCAAGTGGAGCAGATTGGAGAGAATAAGTATCGGGTAAGAGGAAGAAATCCACATTGGCCATAATAGCACCAAGTCTCTGAGTTCCATAACTGGGTGGGAGCGTGCCAGGGAGAAGGACCCGATTTAACTTCGATAACAGCAGCCTGACGTTTTCGTACTCTCCAGAGACCTCACTCTTCCAGTGATTGACTCGGGCTTTTTACCTGTGCTAGCCTCTTCCCTTCGGAGATGTTTAGTGCAGATTAGACCAATCACTTGCATTCGGGAATTGGAACCAGGCACTTAGCGTGGGCTCTGCAGTGAGGGAATAACGCGAAGAGTTTACACACTAGTTCCTTATTCCCCAAGCTGGCCGGAGGGTCTCTGGAGGTGAGAGTTTCTGGGGAGGCTGCTTCAATGGGCCATTAACAGAGAGCGCTCATTCCTTGCTAGTAATTAGACCTACGGTGGGGAGGAGAGGGGTTTCTCTATTGGGAGAGCCATAATGGAGGCGATACACAGGGGCACCTGATTATAAACGGGAGGGATATAAAATCACATTTAAAATATTAACTGGTCCAGCTGTATGGTTAACCGGGCCTGGCCAAACTGGAGCAGCTCCATACCTGTGATGCAGAGCGGTGGGCCTGGCCGAACTGGAGCAGCTCCAGCCAGGCCGGGCACCGGTTACCGGTAAGCATAACCCAGTAAGGCTGATGCTCACCAGGTAACCAATTACCTGTTTACATCCCTAATAAATGGTCCGTGATCATCTCCACCTGTGACTTTCTGAGACGAGAACAAGCTGAGAGTCAGCATGTTCTGGTGCATTAAGTCTTGGATCTGCCTTATAACACAAGGAGATGAATGTGGCAGTGTTCTCAGAGGGTTTAGCTCGCTCACCGTCAGGGATGTGGTATCAACAGATATCACAGACTGTAACTGCCTCTGAGTTTTATGTGTGTACGTTACACCTCTGCCTATGTAGCTGGTGTCTAAAAAGGGGGAGCAAAGTATTTGCGCGATGGATCTGCATTCAGGTACTTCCTGTTTTTATTTCCCTGGGATGGACTGGCAGCACACCAGCACGGTTTCCTGCAGGCCTGGGCAGGGAGGAGTTAAGAGCGACACTTGGGCACTGTTGAATTTCAGATTTTGGCACGTCTCTCCGACGGCACTACATCAGTGAGGACGCACTGTGCTGAGGGGCACGCGCTCTCCCGCCGGCATAAATACTCCTGCTCCACAAGCGGCAGGAGCCTTGTTGCTGGGATAGAGTCTCCTGCCAACGTGGTGCCGCTGTGGACTGCCCTTAGGTCGATGTCACATCCCTTGCTCAGATGGGGGCTTTTTCACACAGTAGTGTAGACGGGCCCTTGTGAAGTGCTGAATTCCAGCTTCTGCAGTCGGGGCAGTGAGCAAGTCAAACAACATCGCGTACCCTGATTTGTAACTCCCCGTGGTTTGCGAAAATGTTCATGATGATTGCACTGTGAAAGCCTATAAAATGTTTTCTTGTTTTTCTCCCCGTCTTCCTCTTCTCTCTTCCTGACGTGCTCCCCGTCCCAATTCTTTCTCTCCGTAGTTCTTCCTCGGCAATCAGGTACAGTGTGCCTTGCAATGCTGTGTCTCATTCTTTTTTAACCCACATAGCTTGGTGTGTGTAATCCCTGTCTTGTTGCTGTGGGAAGAAGTGATCTAAGAATGCTGTGTTACAGCTGGCTATAGTGCTCGGCAGAGCTTGGTATACAGAAAACCGTTGTTCCCCTGAAAATGTGACACCGTGTGGTAAAACTGCTCGGAAGAAAGAAGTAAAAAGTTTAATTGCAAAATCAGAAAGCCACAAAGATGGCGAGAGTTAGCCTCCAAATTGCTTCTTTCTCTGATGCCCCTGGGGTGTTAGAGGACATGGCTTTATTCATGGGAAAGAGAACATTTCAGGTACCAGGGGAACCCAGTGCTCAGGGTAGACTTGTCCGAAAAGACCATTCTCTCATGATTCTCTCGCTACTGCTGGAGGAATTCTAACACTCCTTAAAAATATAATCAGGCTAACATTTCCTGAGCAGACTGTATACCAGGATCTGGGCGGGTTTGGCTAAAACATGGTCACACTGGAATGAGAATGCTGCATTCACATGGTTAATCTCATAGGTAACGATAACTAAACCTTCATCCCCGGCTTCACCAACTTGTAACTGGAAGAAGGTTCATGAGAAATTGCATGTACCTACCTCGTGTTCCGATGTGTGTTTAGTGTTCTGGTAACTGAAGGCTGACTAGAACACCCGAACCCTGCTGGTCATGCGACTGGTGGGATGTGTTTCCTCACAAGAACCCAGCCTCCTTTGGGAATCTGTTTATTTTAACTACTCAGGATTTTGAACGTGACGAGGTGGCCTCTAAATGGGGCGCCATGAAAGAAAGAAAGAAATGTGAATTACGTGAGTGAAGGGAAGGAGAGAAACCAGATCCCCGGTTATTCTAGATAGGTGGCTGTAGACAAACCTTTGAAGGGAACTATAAAAGGTATCAAATTATTACAGTAACGTTTTAATGTGACAAGACTGGAGCCAGGACTAGAACGTGTGTTACTAAAATGGAAGGCCGCCACCTACCCTCTGCTGTGTTGATGTGATGGGGCTACAAAGCTCATGTTTCCAGCTAGCTGAGAATTCCCCATGTCATAGAATCCTAGAACTCTAGAACTGGAAGGGACCTCGAGAGGCCATCGAGTCTAGTCCCCTGCCCTCACAGCAAGACCAAGCACCATCTATATCACCCCTGACTGGTGTCTGTCCAACCTGCTCTTCAATATCTCCAGGGATGGAGATTCCACAACCTCCCTCGGCAATTTATTCCCGTGTCTAACCGCCCTGACAATTGGGAAGTTTTTCCTAATGTCCAGCCTCAACCTCCCTTGCTGCAATTTAAGCCCATTGCTTCCTGTCCTGTCCTCAGAGGCCAAGGAGAACAATTTTTCTCCCCCCTCCTTGTGACACCCTTTTAGGTCCTTGAAAGCTGCTGGTGTGGAGGAATAACCCAGCATGTGTAGCACCCGTCCAGCAAAGGGGCATAGCCAGAGAGCCTGTGTCCTCCAGCAAGCAGCAGGCATAAATGGCTTTTTCTGGCTATAGCCAATTGACATGGCATCCGTGCCAGGAGAGGGGTGTTGCCCCATGCCCGGGCATGCCCCGCAGTCGAGAATCTAGCCTAGAAACGTCAAGACCTCAAACCGTAGTTTGTAAAGCCAGAGAGCCTGCCATTTCAGCACTCCAGCCCGTCTGCTTAGCCCTAAAGATCGGCCATTCTGGTGGCTCCCAGAGAGCAGAATTGGTAACCCTCCTGCTCTACAGCTAAATAAACTCCTGTTGCCGTTTGCTGGGGAGGGCTTGGTGGCAGGATATCCCCCCCCCCCCATGGCAGGCAGACACTGTGTTCAACCCAGTTTCCCTCCTGGCTTAAGCTCTTAAGACATGGCGATATTTTTGCTGCTCTTTATTATACCCTGTGTGTGGTACATGGAGCCGAACAGTTCACAGTAGTCCAGGCAGAGGTCTTCTACCTGTCCGGCAGTGTTCCCTGCAAAGACTCCAGTGCTGCCCAGCTGATGAGCAGAGTCCTCACAGCCGGCAGCCTGTGTTTCTATTGGTGGTGCACATCCGCACGTGTCCTGGTGCACTTAACAAAATTTATTCTGCACATGGATGGGAAAAAATTACAGGGAATGTTGTAGTCTGGGTGTCACAGTAAATGTTAGGAGAAGGTGACTGAAGAAAAGTGTGTGCATGGAGGTGGCTGGAGACTTTTAATAATGGCTTGGCTTAGGTAAGGTAGCGGGGGAATCTGGAAAGAGATGTATGATTTTCTTGATTTTGGGCATGTTTAATGATGGTTTGAAATTGGTGAGATTTTAAATTACTGGTGAATATTATAATCACTAATCAACATTTTTGGGACACAAACCTTAGATTTGGACATGCTAGATTCACTATAATTGGGTGACTCTCGTGGTAGCACTCTTGCTGGGGGTGTGGAGGTGGAGGCTTAGCAAAATGCTCACATCTCAGGCTGTGTGAAGAGGTTTCTTTCTCACTGCTGATAAGGCCTTGCTCACATTTGCTCTGCCAGCCTTCAGTGATGGATCAAGTGTGTCTCTCCAAAGTGGACTGCATCAGGCATGTCAGAGGGTAGTGTGGGCTAATGGGAAGAGCACTGGAAGCAGGACTCCAGTGGCTGGGTTCTGCCCTTGGCTCTCCCACTGCTCTGCTGCCCCTCCCCGTGCCTCAGTGTCTTCAACTGTAAAATGGGGGTGGTGATGCTATGACACCCTACCCTCTTTAAAAAGTGCTTTGAGATCTGCTAATGAAAGTGTTCTGCAAGAGCTGAGTGGAGTTTATTATTATGCCTGAAATAAAATGCAGTTTAAATTCTCTTTCTTTGGGTGAAACCCTCAAAAGATCACATTTAGAAACTGTAATTTGCTACCTGGCCATTCTTTGGTCAGCGTTTGAATTTCTGAACTCTTTTCTTGAGCAAAGGCCCTTGTTAATAACATTGTCCTGAGTTTCACTCGATGAAGAAATTCTCATTGATTAGCTCCAAAGTGAATTATTCCCGCAGAGCATGTAACTTTGTTATACGTTTGACAAAGCCCTGCACATTAATAAGAGCTTTGAAATGTTTACGCTTACAAGTAACATTTCAAACACTCTAGTGTGGTGATATTACTAACCCTGATGCAGTCTGCTTTGGAGAGGAGCCGTGATTCCATTTAATATCCCCGTTATTTGACCCGCGTCTCTGTTGGTTCCACAGTTCGGTGATTCCCAGCAGTTGCGGCTGGTCCGTATTTTGCGCAGCACTGTCATGGTTCGAGTTGGTGGAGGATGGATGGCACTGGATGAATTTTTGGTGAAAAACGACCCTTGCAGAGGTAAGCGAAGAACCTGTTTCTTAGAAAATATTTCTAAATAGTTGTCTTTTCTCCTGTTACGTAGCTGTGTAATTATCCGGAGCCTTCCATCGCCACAATAATTGTAAAGTCACCAGATAGCACAAGAAGCTTTATTGGAGCAGATCTCCTCAGTCATTTGGTTGTGTAAATAAAGGACGATCTGAAGAATATAGGAACTAAAGAAACCCCAAAACTGAGTGTTATGATCGCAAGACTTTTGGTATTTGGTAGTGTGCTTAAAGCCCCAACTTCTGGAGTCATGTGACATGTCAACTTCTATCATGTCATGTTAGCATTTTAATTTTCCTTTCAAAAGAAACAAACAAGTTGGTAGCTCGCCTGGATCCTGAGAAAAGCTTGAAATGGTCTGAGTGCACCTGAAGTTTCAAAAACTAGAAGGCAAATAAAAGGAATTCTGTGTTGTGTTTGTGTAAAATCGTATGATTTTTGAGCCCTTGGAAATAAGCTGTAAAACAGCATGAACCTTTTGGAAAGGGTCCTCAAGCAAAGCCAAACCTTGAGCATCAAAGAGTTAAAATTCTTTTTACTAGAAATTATTTGAATGGCCATTTTTTTTTCATACAGATTTGTTCCAAATGTTTATTTTCAGCAGAGTGGCAAAGCAAGAAAATATTTTGTTCTTGAGATCTTCACCTGTGTGGTATTATACAGGTTGGACCTCTCTCGTCCAGAAACATCCGTCGTCCAGAATGATTTGAGTTGGCCGGATGTCCTCTTTTCATGAGTGTGGCCAAGTTTCCCGTGGTCCTATAAAGCTTGTTTGCAGCCATAAGTCCTGGCGCTCAGTGTTCTGTGCTGTGATTTAGCTCTAATTGACCTCTAACAGCCCAGTAAGCAGTGGCAGGGTTGGTAAAGCTGCTAGACAATATGGACCTCCTGTCGTCCAGAAAATTCTCTCGCTTGGAACCGGTCAGGTCCCAAGAGTGCCGGACTAGATGGAGTTCTACCTGTACAACTGTAACGTGCATTGGCAGTGGGGAACGCCCGAGAAAGCTGGACATTTCGTTTTCATCGTTTAAACCCCTCATTTTCATGTGTTGCCTGCACTCTTTGACGAAGGTCAAAAGTGGCTTGCGTGTGTTTTCCTTTGGGTTGCTGGCATGTGCCAGCTTTAGCACAGCTCCAGCCTTTGTGAACTTGTGTGTCTTTTGCAACAGTTGTCTGTGTGGATCCTGCTGTAAATGTGACTGTTACAAATGCAGTGTGCTGGATTGCTGCAGTGTGCAGCAGTGTGCAGTGTGCAGTAGGCGACCGAACTTTTGGAGAAATACGATAAAACCTGTTCCAGCTCCACACAGCCGTAGGTAAAACCAGGTGTAAGAAGCCTCTAGACCATGGCTTCCTAAACTGGGTTGCGTAAAGAAATTCCAGGGGGGCGTGAGGTGACCCTGCCTCCCCCCCCCCATCAAGTTTTGCTGCCCTGCTCAGTTCCTTTATTTTTTTTTTCCAACAAGTTTTGCTTCTTTTTTTTTTTTTTTTTGGCAGCAGGGGGGGGAGGGTTTTTTCAAAAATCAAGAAGGGGGGGGGGATGCCGAAAAGTTTGGGAACCGAATACAGTCTCCCTTGCTGGTGAATGTGATTATGGAGAGCATAGCAAGTCGTCAGAAAGAAAACACACTTGCTGTATTTTTAAGGCCGGTGGTGCTGTTTCCAGAAGCTCTGCGTATGCCTAAAAAATTTCCTGCGAGATTCCAGTTACCAATTCTTCCTTTCCTGCCTCTCTCAAAAACCACCTGGCAGCGCCGCATAGGGTGAAGAAGAGCCGTCCTTCAGTTGTGCCTTACTTTCTTGATCAGTCTCTGCTTTCTCCTGCCGTGTCAGTTTCCTTGTATGTGTGTTTTCTTTATTCTAGTTCACCACCCTGGAAGTAAAATAAAGCGCTCTGATTCCAGCTCTTCGATTGCCAGCCAGTCTCCCATAGGTTGGCGTTACTTTTGCTTTACCCCTCTTGGCCACGCCACCTCTCCCATCGTCGAGAATGGCTTTGCTTCTTAACCCAGCCTGCCTGCCCCAGCACCGCTGCTGCCGTTGTGAATGCCGCAACACAGGGGGGGACTGCAGCGTCTGTCCGTGTCGATTCTATCCAGAATATTCTGTACTTGAGAGATTTTAAAACCGGTTTTAACTCAGTCAGCTTTCTGGGAAGTGAGTGGCGGGTCAGAGCCTGAAAAAAACCACACACGTGACGTGAGATGTGGTTTTCAAACTCAGATGCATGGTAGGGATGTTGAGTATCGGTTAATTGAATAGTCGAGTAACCTCATGAATTCTTATTGGTTACTCGACTAGTGATAGTCCCTGGGGGCGGGGCTGGCAGCCAGTGCGCTCCAGCCTCACTCCGGAGGAGCTCCCTGCCGCTCCACACTGCTGCCTCTGTATCAGAGGCAGCAACATGGGGTGCCAGGCAGGAGCTGGACTACAAGAGGAGCCAGTTTAAAAACCAGCTCCCCTCGCGAACCAGCTGCCTGTTGCCCTGCGCTGCTACCTCTGATAAAGAGGCAGCAGTGCAAGGTGGTAGCAGCTCCTGTGTAGGGGACGTCTGAGCTCCTGGACCCGATACGAGCCGGAACTCAGCTGGGCTACCTGCCCATGTGGCTCCTACCCGATACGAGCCGGAACTCAGCTGGGCTACCTGCCCATGTGGCTCCTAATACACTTCAAATGCAGAGCTGCAGCGGGGGTAGGTCCTGGACCCAGTGTGAGCCAGGACTGAGCCAAGCTGCCTGCCTGCTAAAAAAAATTGACTGGCAGTGTGGGAGGGAGAGGAAATGCATATGGTCTATAGCATTAACCTATAAGCTTTTGTTTATCGATTAATCGGTTAATCGACTACACTGTTACATCCCTAATTCATAGGTAGACGCGTTGTCCTTTCCATGTACCTGGCCTCCATGGCCATGTTATCTAAACACCTCACAAGCTTAATATATTTACCTGTGAGGTACTGCAGTAGTCGTCCCCATGACAGATGGGAAACTGAGGCATATAGACAAAGGGAATCAACCAAAGTGTCACAGAGCATTTGTGGCTGAACTGACAACTGAACCCAGCTCTTCCAAGCCCAAAGCTAGTGCTCTACCCACTAGACCATCCTTCCTTTCTTCCTCTCTTCAGCTCTCCAAGCTTTTATTTCAGTTTATCCAAAGAGTTGTTGCAGGGTTTTTTTTATTAGAAACATTTGGAAACAAGGGAAATCTGTCCTTTTTTAGGCCTGAAAAACTGAACCATGTAACATACACCGTGGAAAAATTGGAGTCATTGGGTTTTTTTCCTCTGGATTTTGAAATGTTGCATCTGTGAGAATTTCTCCTGAATCAGTATTTTTGGTGGTAGAAAAAGGTCAGAGGTAGGATCAGGGCATCTTGATAAAGAAAAAGTCCATGTGGGCATGATGTGACTTTTGTTTGAAATGATTAAGATTAACCCAGTTCTTCAGTTTACATATTTATTTCTATAGTTAAAATAATCGGAGTTTCCACGCCAAGTCCTGGACACCCACATGCGATCGATCAGCGCCCGTTATTCCTTTTTAGACGATTCTAGATGTAAAAATAGCCTGTGTTGCTGGTACCTGAGGATGGAGTTACAAAAACGGATTCTACGGCGAGTGATGAAAACACTGACTTGTCTTGGGTTTAGTTTTCATGCAGCTGTGCAGAGAGTCAGCCTGGAAGCGAGTCTTGTAGCTCATGCGTAGCTATTCTGTTCAGACATTGAAGCAGCTGTGATGGAGGTGTACAGTGTACTCAGGCCAAATGCTGCCTGTCTTGAATTGAATTGCGCTGAGTGGTTTCTTCAGACCGTTTCAGGACATCTTCCTTTAATATTTTGTACTACAGTAGAGCCTAGACGTCCCTATTGAGATGAGGACCTCAGCATGCTAGGTGCTGTGCAAGACAACAATGATACCATCATGTCCTTAATCTAAATAGACAAGCTGAAGGAGAGGTTGGAAATAGAGGCCCAGAGGGAACGTGACTTGCCCAAGGTCACACAGCAAGTCAGTGGCAGAGCTGGGAATAGAACCCAGATCTACAGTGGCGGAGAAAAACTGATGCAAGATGCACAATTCCAGCTACGTGAACTGCGGAACTGATGCAAGATGCACAACTCCAGCTACGTGAACTGCGTAGCTGGAGTCGACGGCTCTGGCGTTGATTTTCCGGGGGCAGCCCAACAGTGAGAGGTTGACAGGAGAAATGCTCCCGTCGACTTCCCTTGCTCCTTGCGACAGCAAGGTGCCAAAGGGAACGCCCTCAGCATTCGATTAACGGGTCTATACTAGACCCGCTAAATCAAACCTCAGAGGATTGATCACCAGTGTGTCAGTCCTCCAGTAATTGAAGATGTGCTCTGAGTCTCCCAGTCCTGTTCCCAGCACCTTACGTGATGGATTTGTGAAGGAAAATGTTGTGTTAAATCCATCCTCAAGTAGAATCCTAGAAGGGGAAGGTACCTCGAGATCATCTGGGCTATTCCCTGGCCCGCACGGCAGGGCCAAGTATTATCTAAACCCTCCCTGGCGGGCAGTTGTCTAACCTCGTCTTAAAAATCTCCAGTGCTAGAGGTTTCACTACCCCCTGGGAAGGTGGGAAGAATTTTGCAGAGGGTAAAGGATGTTCCCCCAAGATCAGATCTGATTCCCATTTATTGCATAGCTGCACGGCCAGCTCTGTGGAAGGTGAGCTGCTAATAAACCCAGGCCTCTTTGGAGTCAGTGTGCTTTTTGCCTTGGCACGTTACATTACTCTGTTGGGCGTTGTGTGCCGTCAGCTGGAGTGTTCCCTTTGTGTGCTAAAGGGATCTCGGTTGTGCTTCTCGCTTGTTCCTTTCAAATACAGGACCTTTGATAGTCATGGCTGTCCGCCTGGCAGAACAGGAAACCGCATCACACAGGGCAACTGCTGAGATGTATATCACTAAAAAAATATTATTGTTATTATTTTTTTTTTAAGAATAGTGCTGCTGCTTTAAGTGAGACTTCCCTTTTCGCCTTCTCTTCTCTTCCGGAGAGGGCAGTGCAGGGGGTGAGAGACCCCAGGGTGAAGGACAGCAGCCACTAACCAGCCTTCAACCGCTGGGATCCTCAGAAAGGGGAATGAGCCAAACCCAGCTGAGCGCGTGAAATTTCCCACTGGAGTTCCCACGGATATTTTTTTTCAAACAATGAGGGTGATTAACCATTAGAACAATATACCCAGGCTTGTGGCGGATTCTCAGTTCAGCCACCTTTAGGTCAAGGCTGGGTGTGTCTCTAGGAATGACCTGCTCTCGTTCAAACAGGAATTAATACAGGGAGGTCCGATGGCCTGTGTTGTACCAGAGGTGAGAGTAGACCAGTGATGGGCCAGCGAGGGGCCCTCCTTCATTTCCGTGGCCACAGAACTATTGTCACCAGGACGGTCTCCCGGGATGGGGCAGTTTTGCTCGTGGCGCTAGTTTACCTAGAATGTGCAGGAGGTGCCGATTGCCCCGTTGCAGCGCTGGGATTGGCTGCAGGGGGGTGCCCGGCTCTTGCCGTCAGTGCTGGGTGCTATCAGCCTGCACCTCCCTTCGCCGCCCTGGCTTTACGTGCAGGTCCCTGTAACGAGACCAGTAGGAAAAACCCAACATGGCTGGAAAGCAGAGGAATCTGGCAACCCCGCGCGTGGGCAACAGCGAGCAAAATGTCTCGTGGGCTCCACGCAGAACCCCGACGGGCCACAGCTCTGGAGTTGACAATCACCGGGGTTCCTTCTGGCCTTAGTGATGTATACGTCTAGGGCAGCCAAAAAGAGCTCACGAGGTTCTGGTCCGCGGTACGTTGTATCTGCTAAGAGAGATGCCGTCGTGCCACGATATCCCATGCAGGGGAACGCCCCTCCCACGCCACGTGGCTCTGAGCCTGTCGGTGTTGGAAGGACATCAGCCAGCCAGCCGGAGTTTGTAGGAGAATTCGGGGGTCAGAGGCTGGAAGAATTGACTTGTGAAGAAAGGAATGACCAAAATAGGATCATTTTAACCAAATCTCGGCTCTACTAAGCAGGTACCTTGCTAGGCAGGTCTCTGCACCAAGGCGACAGGGGAGTTGGTTAGCGCGCAATGGAAAGGAGAAATTGTTTGTGAGTGAGTGAAACATTTAACTGTCCTTACTCACTACCGTCCCTTACCTGAAGCAGGGTAGGTCTGGTAGCTGTCGCGCAATGGAAAGGAGAAATCTAAAGGAGACGAGTGTCTGTATGGGGAACAAATTCTCAAGAACAAGGCTTGATAGGGTACGTCTACACTTGCACCCTCTTTCGGTAGAGGATGCAAATGAAGACATTCGAAATTGCAAACGAAGCCGGGATTTAAATATCCCACGCTTCATTTGCATATTCGCATTATGGTGCTATTTTGAAATAACAGACGCTGTTAAGACGCGATTATTTCAAGAGAAAACCCTTCTCTCGAAATAACCCGTATTCCTCATACAATGAGGTTTACTGGTTATTCAGAGAGAGAGGTTTTCTCCTGAAATAACCGTCTTAACAGCGTCTGTTATTTCAAAATAGCACCATAATGCGAATATGCAAATGAAGCGTGGGATATTTAAATCCCGGCATCATTTGCAGTTTGGAATGGCTTCGTTTGCATCTCTCTCTCAAAAGAGGGTGCAAGTGTAGACATACTTTCGTAACCCACTCTTGCTGCAATTTAAGACGTCCCTTTATCCCAGCACAGTCTGGGGCTTCTGTCTGCCTCGTGCTGAATAGTTTTTGCTTCTGTCCCCCGTGGCTCGTTGCAGAAACCAGCATGACTGGGAAGCGGGGCTGCTGGCTTCCTGTAAGCTCCCCAATTGACTAACACCACTCTGCTTCTCCAGCTGCACGCTGACTGCTTTGCTGCGGGTGCTTTCAGCGCTAGGGGGAGGGCTGTCCCCGTCCCCGGGGATCTCGGAAGAAGGCTTCTGCCTGCCGCTGCCTCCGTGTCTGTGGAGTCTAACTCGTTGAATTGCTCCTCTGTCCTGTCAGGCTTCGTGCATGGCCTTGCTCCTACTGACATACTGAATTTTCTCTCTGTGGAGGTCTGGGGAGTTTCTCAGATAACAGCCTGTGCTGAGCTGCTCTCAAGGTGTAGAACTTGCATCGTTAGCTCATCGCTAGGTGCAGAGAGACCCTTCCCTTCCTGGGACTTTCAGATCCAGATGTTCCATCTGTCCTCTGATACGAGGAGTTGTAGCTTGGAAAATTGGTCACACTCCACCAGGGATGTGAAGGGTCACCAGTGACCCCGTAAGCATCCCCTTTACCGGGTAATGGTTAACCGGTGCCCGGGAGCAGCCCGCCATAGGCGGAGGACTGGGGCGGGAGCCAGGAGCCCCGCAAGGGGTCGGCAGAAGCCAGGAGCAGCAGCCCCGTGGGCCGGGCTGGATCAGTCCCCTGCCTGAGCTCCCGCTTGATCAGTTAAACGTTAGGTGTAACCGCTTAACGGGATTTTACATCGCTGTGTGCTGGGTGGGAGAGCAGGGACGTGACCTTCGAGAGCAGCTCGACTCCGTATTTTCAAACCGTCCTAAGAATGTCGTCAGCCGCCGTGCTAATTTTAACTGGACTGGTATGATGGGCCCATGACATGCCTAATTCTGGCTGGACTCCGGGGTTCTCTCGGCCGTCCTGAGCCTTTACCAACCACTCAGCCGGAGAGCCAGCCGTCCCTGGTCGGTCAGAGCCGGCGCTTCCCAGATGCCGTGTCTGGCTGGCTTCCCGGGGCTAAGCAGGACTCGGGGGCCATGCCTCGGGGACTTCCTTTTTTCAGCACCTGCTCTGTGTCCTCTTGCAGCACGCGGCAGGACCAACCTGGAGCTCCGAGAGAAGTTTATTTTACCCGAAGGAGCCTCGCAGGGAATGACGCCCTTCAGGTTGCGGGGGCGTCGGTCAAAACCCTCCTCCCGGGCGGCCTCCCCGACCCGATCCAGCTCCAGTGCCAGCCAGAGCAATCACAGCTGTGCGCGACGCCCGCCAGCGGGGCCAAGGTGAGGCTGAGATCTCTGGCCGGGTTTTGCTTTGCTTTCCTGCTGCTCGCACCTACACAGAACCCAGTCCGAGGAGAGCAGGGAGCTGAAGAATCGGGGGGAAGGGGTTTGGGGAGGGTTACTCAGAAAATACGCTAACGTGTGCGTCACTGACAGAGCCGGGTTTAAAGTGATACTTGATGCTGGGATAAACCCATTGGAGGCAGTGTCAATATTTGAAAATCATTCGTTCTACCAGTTTCTTCCCCTTTCGCCATGCACGGCGCACCGGCAGGTGAGTGATCGGGTGGGCCAAGAGGTTGTTTTTATGTTCTCATACCATAACTCTTGGGACCATTCCCCATTTCCCTGTCTACCACAAGACAGAATCCCCCCTGCTGTCAGTCCGTGTAATCGCAGACTCGTCTTGGACATCTCTGTTAACACGAGCAGCCTGGCACGAAGAGGACGTGGCTGCCTTTGTGTGTCTCCCTTTCACCACATTGCGCCAACGTACATTTTATTGTGTCGTCCGTTTCTTTTCGCATTTGTGTTTGTGTTTCCCATTTCGGATTCTTTTCTGTTCCATTTTCACTCACTTTCCACCTCTTCCCCCCCTTTCTCCCTCCCTTTCCTTTGGATTTTCCATTTCACAGACTCCACACCACTTCTCTCGCTGTTATGACAAACCCTGGTTGGTAAACAGTAAAGCTGTCACCCCTCACAGGGGCTTGGATAATTCCGACACCCACCTGCCCAGCACCGAGGTAGAGTATGGCTCTGCTAGTCGAAGGCCCTGTTGAAAAGAAGGAATGTGGCTGCTTCCTTTTTCGGTTTTAACGCTTTTCTGTCATTCTAGCAGCGCTTGTTAGCTCAGCTCACGCTAAGACTGTTGGCGTTTTTCAGTGGTTCCTAACTCGGATTAAAAAGACATTCATGCCAGAATGAAACTCCATGTGCAAGATGCCTGCAATCCATTCCCCCCGTCCCTCCCTTTTGAGCGATTTTAAAATGGTAACTTATCAGATTGCAAAAAAGAATGGGACTTTTCCTGATTTGGGCCATTTTTTAGCGTTCAAAAAAAGACCATCATGTAAAAGAGGACCTCTTAGTATTTAAAACAGAAATAAAATCACCGAGTTAGCACTTGAAAATCATTGACAGTGTATGCACAGTAATCCATTACTGTAGTTTTCACAGGTACGTACACCTGTCAACCTATTACAGCATATCTGATATGTCCTATAACATCCCACACTGATATGAGATCTCTACAATACTCGGATATAGCAGTGAATTCAGGCTGGGGGCTGTAGTTTCATCCTGAGCTTAGAACTTCCTAACCTCTGGGAATTGGTGCTTGTTAAGAATTTTAAAGTAGAGTTTGGCAATTTCACTTACCGGCAATTTGTCGTTTCTACTCTAAAATAGTTTGTGAAGTTTTGTTATCAGCAAGTCAGGTGTGATTTCTGAAATGTATAAAATGACCATGTGTCCCCATAAAAGAGGTGTTGGGAAGATACGGAACATTGGTTACAAAGTGCAAAAGCTGCAGCAATTCGCGAAGATGTAAAAAGAGGTCCCCTCGGAACCAAAACGTGCCAGAGAGACATGCTTTTAGATGGAGCTACTCTCAACTTTGTTAAAGCTTCAGTCCTACTCTTTGGTCCTTTTCAAAGGCTTGTTCAGTGCTTTAAAACGCACTGATGGAACTTAACTGCTGTTTATTCACAGAGGCATTCCTCTTCCCTGACTTTTCCTTTGCTTCCTCTCCCTTTGCTGGAGCTTCACGAGACAGAAATTAAAATCTCTGCGGGAGTTTGGGGATCTCTCGCCAGCTGGTTGTTAGAAGATTTATTCCAGTCACTCTCCGACTATTTAAAAAGTCATTTCTTTTTATGGTGACGCGAACTGAAAGTTGCAAAAGGCTTTTCAGCAGTTGTTGGGTCAATCTGCCCATTGCTCTGTGAGAACATAGGAACGGCCAGATGGGGTCAGGCCAGAGGTCCATCTGGCCCAGTGTCCTGTCGGCCGACAGCAGCCAATGCCAGGTGCCCAGAGGGAGGGAACAGAACAGGGAATCTTCGAGCAATCCCTCTGCTGTCATCCATTCCCGGGCTCTGACAGAGGCTAGGGACACCACCCCTGGCTGATAGCCATTGAAGGACCTAACCTCCATGAATCTGTCTAGTTCGTTCTTGAACCCTGTTAAAGTCCTGGCCTTCACCACATCCTCTGGCGAGGAGTTCCATGGGCCAACCATGCTCTGTGTGAAGAAAAACTTCCTTTTGCTTGTTTTAACCCTGCTACCTATTCATTTCATGTGGTGACCCCTAGTTCTTATGTTATGGGAACAGGTAAATAACTTTTCGTGATTCACTTTTCCCACACCTGTCATGATTGTATAGACCTCATAGAACAATAGAGCTGGAAGAGACCTCAGAAGGTCATCAAGTCCAGCCCCCTGCTCTAGGCAGGACCAATCCCAACTAAATCAACCCTATCCTAAACCAACCTCTATCCTATCCTCCCTCAGTCTCCGCTTTTCCAAGTTGAAAAGTCCCAGTCTTTTTAATCTCTCTTCATATGGGACCCGTTCCAAACCTCATGAGTTTTGTTGCCTTTTTCTGAACCTTTTCCAATGGCAAGATACCTTTTTCGAGATGAAGTGACCACATCTGTACGCAGTATTCGAGATGTGGTCGTGCCATGGTGTTATACAGAGGCAAGAAGATATTTTCTGTCTTATTCTCTATCCCTTTTTTAATGATTCCTAACATCCTATTTGCTTTTTTGACTGCCACTGCACACTGAGGCTACGTCTAGACTGCAAGCCTCTTTCGAAAGTATCTTAACAGTAACAAGTCACCAGTTTATCAGGTTTTTTCGAAAAAGCCTCTTTTGAAAAAGAGCATCTAGACAACAAGAAGATTTTTCAAAAAAGCGGCTCGCTTTTTCGAAAGAGAGTCTAGATACTTTCTTTCAAAAAAGCCCTATTTTCATGCAATAGCGCCTTTTTTTGAAAGATGACTTTAGAAAAAGGCGTTATTCCTCATAGAATGATGTTTACCGCCATTGACAAAACCGCCACGTTCTTTCGATTTACTGTTGACAGAACGGGGTGGTAGTCTAGACACAGGTACAGTTTTTTCGTAAAAGGCCACTTTTTTCTGAAAAAAACCTGTAGTCTAGACACACCCTGAGTGGATGTTTTCAGGGAACTATCCACAATGACGCCAAGATCTTTCTCTTGAGTAGTTGTATTTAAATTAGTCCCCATCATATTGTACGTCTAGTTGAGATTATTTTTTCGAATGTGCATTATTTATCAATATTACATTTATTATTTATCAATGTTACATTTCGTTTGCCTTTTTGTTGTCCTATCACTTTGTTTGGTGAGATCTTTTTGAAGCTCTTCACAGTCTGCTTTGGTCTTAACTGTCTTGAGCAGTTTAGTATCATCTGCAAACTTTGCCACCTCCCTGTTTACCCCTTTCTCCAGATCATTTACAAATAGGCTGAGTAGGGTTGGTCCCAGTACAGACCCTTGGGGGACCCTCTCCACTCTGAAAACGTAACGTTTATTCCTACCTCTTGTTTCCTGTCTGTTAACCAGTTACCAGTCCATGAAAGGACCTTCCCTCTTTTCCCATGACAACTTACTTTACTTAAGAGCCCTTGGTGAGGGACCTTGTCAAAGACTTTCTGGAAATCTAAGTACCCTATATCCACTGGATCCCCTTTGTCTGCATGTTTGTTGACCCCCTCAAAGAACTCTAGCAGATTAGTAAGGCATGATTTCTCTTTACAGAAACCATATTGACTTTTCCTCAACAAATTATGTTCATCCATGTGTCTGACAATTTGATTCTTTACTATAGTTTCAACTAATTTGCCCAGTACTGATATTAGACTTACCAGTCTGTAATTGCCAGGATCACCTCTTTAGCCCTTTTTAAATATTGGCGTTACATTAGCATTAGCAACTTCCAGTCATTGGGTACAGAAGCTGATTTAAAGGATCGGTTACAAACCACTGTTAACAGTTCTGCAATTTCCCATTTGAGTTCTTTCAGAACTCTTGGGCGAATGCCATTTAGTCCTGGTGCCTTGTTACTGTTAAGTTTATCAGTTTGTCCCAATTCACAAACCCAGGTGACAGGGCAACAAAACAGCAGATGAAATTCAATGTTGATAAATGTAAAGTCGTGCACTTTGGAGAACATAATCCCACCAATACATATAGAATAATCTAAATTAGCTGTTACCACTCAAGAAAGATCTTGGCGTCATTGTGGATAGTTCTCCAGAAATCCCCACCCCATCTGCAGCGGCAGTCCGAAAAGCAAACAGAATGTTAGGAATCCTTAAGAAAGGGGAAGATAATAAGGCAGAAAATATCACATTGACTCTATATAAACCCATGGGACGGCCACATCTTGAGTACTGCACACAGATCTGGCCACCCCATCTCAAAAAAGATACCTTGGCATTGGAAAAGCTTCAGAAAAGGGCAACAAAAATGAGGAGGGGTTTGGAGCAGCTGCCATGTGAGGAGAGATTAATAAGACTGGGACTTTTCAGCTTGGAAAAGAGACCGCTAAGGGCGGTTTATGACCGATATAAAATTGTGACTACTGTTGAGAAGGTAAATAAGGACATGTTTTATTTATTCCTTCCCATAACACAAGTACTAGGGATCACCAAATTATAGGCAGCAAGTTTCAAACCAACCAAAGGAAGTATTTCTTCACACAACACACATCAACCTGTGGAACTCATTGCTGGAGGATGTTGTGAAGGCCAAGACTATAACAGGATTCCAAAAGGAGCTAAACAAGCTCATGGAGGTTAGGTCCATCAGTGGCTATTGGGCCTGAGGGTGTCCCTAGCCTCTGTTTGTCAGAAGCTGGGATTGGGTGACAGGGGAGGGATCAATTAGTGATTCCCTGTTTTGTTCATTTGCTCTGGTGTTGACCGCTATCAGAAGGCAGGATACTGGGCTAGAGAGACCATTGATCTGACCCAGTGTGGCTGTTTTTATGCAAAATGCCACAATCCCAGCACCTGTGGGATTGGATATAACACCGGGTGGCTGTTTTCCTGTAATTATTTTATGTTTTCCTAAAACCAACATTTGGCTTTTTAGAAACTCGGAGCTACTCCTTCCAGTTGCACTCAGGTGTCCTCTCTCCACTGGAGGTGTTATTCTCACTTGCCATTACGCTTTCTTTGCTTTCCTCTTTCTGTGGCAGAAAAGCAACAGTGGGGGAAAAGCTTTGTGTTGTGTTGCTTCCTCTAGTGTGTCTCTGCAACATGGTAAAGGTCACAGAACACGCTGACAGAAAACAGGGCGCGAGCAGCCTACAAAGCTTTCCGTTGTGGTGGAGACTTTCGGCACTGCGTTTCCTGTGTCCAGTCACCGCGAATGCGAAACAAACGTCTTGGATTAATCTTTCAAATTTTTCTGGGCTTTAAAATTCTCTTTATTGTTGGTTGTCTGTCCCAATGTATGCACATTAACCTGAAATCCCTTGGCCAGATTAAGTCACTTGGAGCTGAAATTTGGCACTTTCGCCCAGAAGAAAACAAATGTATTTTCAACCAAACATAATTAATCTTTCAAATTTTTCTGGGCTTTTTAAATACTAAAAATTTCCTAGGATTTCATGTGACTTTGTATGTGGCTTTTAGACCCAGAGCAGTACATGGTCCTTAAGACGAACCACATATTTCGAGTATTTTAAAAGGGATCGATCTAGATATAAAATGGATCAAACTAAACAAAATAATGAACCGTGGGTGTAGAGGGATGTTGCTGCCGGAAAAAGCACGACCCCGAATGCATAAAGCCACCTCCGGGATGAATATTTTCAGGAACTAGGGTTTTGTTCCAATAAAACAATGGCTGTGTGTTCGCCTGGACCTTTACGATGGTGGTGGTATTTATATATTGGAATCCTGTTGGCGAGATCAGCCTCTGATATTAACCCCTCACAAAGCAAATTATAGCATCACGTCTAAACACCTCTCCGTACCTTCTGTATTCCAAGGTGACGCCGTCTACAGGCAGCAAGCTGAAGCGACCGACTTTTCACTCAAGCCGCACTTCTCTTGCTGGCGATACCAGCAACAGTTCCTCTCCCGTCTCGACAGGTGCCAAAACCAATCGGGCTGGTAAGTCGACTGTACCCTAAGCGTTCCCTCCTTTCGGCGCTGCCTCTGGGTTCCGGTCAAGAGAGGCTGCGATTCTGACCCTCGGAAATCGATTAGGATGAACTGAAGGGTGTTGGTAGACAGGCTGGGCTGTGGATCTATGGATTTGTAGTCGGATGCTTCAGTGACGGCCAGGACCCTGGGTGGCTGGGGGTGCATTTTAAGAAGGGTTTCCCTTAAACTGTGTTCAGAATAAAAGCCGTTGTCCCAGGACCTGGGGCTTCCAGCTGTTGCCACTGCGGCAGGGGCGGCGGCCGGAGTCCTGAGCTCTTTAAATTGCCGCCGGAGCGCTGCATTGCTCTCTCCAGGCGACTCTGACAGTTGTCTGGGGGGCACAGTGCGCTCTGGGCCCCCCCCACCCCCCCCCCTTCCACTCAAGACCCTGCCCCTTCAAGGGATGCAAAGCTGGCCCCCCCCCAACCTCGTGGGGCTTGCGTTGCTTGGCAAGTCAGTGGACACCCCCCTGTTCATACCACAGACCCTCTGTCTCCCAGAGCCTGGAGTGAGAACAGCCACAAACAAGCTGTGAAATGATCCTGTGAATCGGAGAGTTTGGGGGGAAGTTGCAGCCATGGTTGCCATAGAGCGACCAAGGGATGCAAAGCTGGCCCCCCCCCAACCTCGTGGGGCTTGCGTTGCTTGGCAAGTCAGTGGACACCCCCCTGTTCATACCACAGACCCTCTGTCTCCCAGAGCCTGGAGTGAGAACAGCCACAAACAAGCTGTGAAATGATCCTGTGAATCGGAGAGTTTGGGGGGAAGTTGCAGCCATGGTTGCCATAGAGCGACCGGCGATCCTGGCTTTATTGCACCCCCTTCTACTAACACTGCTGCTGGCGTTGGCTCTGCAAACGGGGGCAGGCCTGTAGGGAGGTGGGGATCCAGGCGCTAAGGGTTCGAACAGGGAGGTGTTTCAGTGTGTCACAAATACCTGGCTTTAATTTCAGATCCTAAAAAAACAGCCAGTCGTCCCACGAGTCGGGCCGGGAGCCGGGCCGGGAGCCGGGCCAGCAGCCGGCGGGGAAGCGATGCCTCCGATTTTGACCTTCTAGAAACTCAGTCTGCCTGTTCGGACACTTCAGAAAGCAGCACAGCGGGGGGTCAGGGCGGCGCACGACGGGGGTTGGCAAAACCTTCCAAAATCCCAACCATATCCAAGAAAACTACCACTGCCCCCCCCAAAACGCCAGGCCCCAAGAGATAATACTGTACCACACCCCCTCAAGAAACAAAACCAACCTGTGTCCAATTTTTAACCCTGCTGCGTACATTGGATGTATATTTATTCTAAACGGGAAAAAATTATATTGTTAAAAGTGTAAAAGAATAAGTGTGTTATGAAGCTGCCTTATTTGGGATTTTTTTTTTCTTTTTTTTTTCTTTTTTTGTAAGTTACTATTTTCATGTGAATATTTATGTAGATACAATTTGCCTCTGGATCACCCCGTTTCACAGTGGGGCCCAGCAAACTGAAATGTGGGGGAGAGAGAGCAAAATAGGTCAAGATGTGAAAGTGTAAAAAAAGAAAAAAAATAAGAAAAAAATTATAAATAGGATTTCTGCGCGGTGCAGGGTGCGAACCTGCTTTATCTTTTAGGATTGTTTCCTAAATGCATCTTTATAAACTTGACTTGCTGTCTCAGCAAGATAAATTATATGTAAAAAAAACAAACAAAAAAAATCCACCCTGAATCCTACAGTGTTCAAGGAACTCTTTTTTGTAAATCATGGATACCTCAAACAGAGAAACATGAGGTATGGGGACTTGGGGCTTCAGCTTCCGTTTTTTAAAGGTTATGTGATTTTACCTGAAGCAATTGAAGTTTGTTTGAATTAATACAATTTGCACATGCTACGGGCAAGGGGTTCGTTACAAATGGTGTCTTTAAAATACTGTCCCAGCGCTTACGCTTGGAAAGAGCAGATCCGAGCGGCGGTTTGGGGGGAGCGGGCTTTAAAAGCTGTCCAGAATCAGGCCCGGGATTGAAACATCGCAAGGCGCCCTGGAGAAAGGTGGGACCAAAATGTGTTTCCATCACTTCCAGTTCCACAATTCAGAAGATTCTTCGGAATGGCCGCCCATTTGGTTCGCATCAGAGACTGACTCACTCTGGCGATTACAGAATTGCTACTTCTCTGCGCCTCTTTTCCTATTTATTATTTGACTGGTCATTCCACTTCGAGCCACGCTGAGATGGTCATCACCTCTGCTCCTAGAAAAAACCTGGGACTTATGTGCACAGCGGCTTGTCCTTTCAATGAGTCTCACCAGCACACTTGCTTAACGAGTCCTGTCTCGCTTTTGTACGCGACTTTACTTTGTGATAAAATCAACCGACCAAGTGACCACGAGGGCGGGCGTGGGGTGGGGCCAGCTGGACTTCCTGTATTTATTAAACATTGTTCTTCTTCAGCTCTGACCACGTCGCTGTGTGATTCTCTCAATTGGTTTAATTGAGGCAGAAACAAGCTCTACCAATGAACTGTTTCAGACAGTTTCTTTTTGTATTAAAATTGCTTGCAGTAAGAACAGTCTCGCTGCTTCTTTTATTCCACGGGGCTGGCTTTACAAACATGCCCATTGAAGGTTAAACTGGGTCTTGCAAAGGAAAAGCAGAAGTGGCTGGATAAAAAGGTGTTGTGAAGGCAGCCAAAGATGCCTTAGAAAGAGAACATATCAAAGATCTGCCTCGAGTTGAGGGTTTACCCCTCTTTTATTCCGATTCTTGTGCCGTCAAGGCATTTCACAATCACGAGACATCAGAACTCGACTACTGAATCCTCGGGGTGCTATCAAATGACTAGAGATCGCTGCAGAGACCTCTGCACGTTATGAATTCACGCCGCCACCCCCCGCACCTCTGCTCTGTGCTGCTAAGAGTTTCTAGGTGAACACCCGGTGAAATGTATTGCACTAATAGCCTGGCGCGACCCGTAGTCTGGATACCTCCGGGAAGGCCCATGTGTAAGGGGAATGAGCATCTCGCTGGCCAGGTAGGGAGATGTTTGATGTTTTGGGCTTTTGAATCTTTGCAAAACACAGGATTGAGATGCTTTGGTTTTTTCTCTCCTGCTAGAATGTATTTGTCTATCCAGGGCGGCATGCTAATACAGGTTGAACCTCTGAGCTGGTAGTCTCTGGTCTGGCTGGATTTGAGTTTGCTGGATGTCCATTTGTCCTGGGTGCGGCCACGTTTCCCACAGTTCCATAAAGTTCCCCTAGGCCAGGCTGGAACCCGCCCCGCCACCTTACTCTCAGGGCCTCCTTTATCATGCCTCTATCTTTGCAGCCACCAGTGCTCTGTGCTGTGATGTAGCTTGAATTTACCCCTCGATATCTTCTAAGAGCCCACTAAGCAGAGGCTGGCCACGCTGCTAGGCAATATTGACCTCCCGTGGTCCTGCAAATTCTCTGCTTCGGCACCAGTCAGGTTCCCAGGGTTCCACCTGTCCCATCTTCTGTCCCATGCAACGGTGGGTTCCTCTCTGGCACAATACGTCAGGGTGAGCAGCTGTTCAAGATTCAGTCTAATGGGAGCTGTAGAAAGGAAAAGCTTGGAGGGAATTGGCCGGCAGCATGGAGCACATCGAATCCTAGGGCTGGAAGAGACCTCAGGAGCCATCGAGTCCAGCCCCTGCCCAAAGCAGGACCAATCCCAACTCAACCATCCAAACCAGGGCTTTGTCAAGCCGGGACTTTAAACCTCTAGGGAGGGAGATTCCACCCCCTCCCCAGGTCTGGAATCCCTACGGTTCCATACCTGACTCAGCCCAGCCCTGCTCCGGTGTCAGAGCTGAATGTGGGTGTTCGGTGGGCGATCGATGTGTGAGCGTAACACGCCTGCCATTGCCAGAGGTCCACCCGGCCCATACGGCTGCATGTGACCAGGATATATTGGATAAATCACTCTACCCCAAGCTGGGCAAAGTCAGTACTAGCCCTAGAGGGACCAGGCAGTAAAAATCTAGATCTGGTTGGCTTGGAAAAACAACCCCTCCCCCCTTCCCATCACATTCCCCCTTCCTGCATCTGCACTGCAGGGAGAAAACATGTAAGGGGCGTGTGAGGCTGCTCCATACCTGGGAATGAACTGATGCCGGGGATCAACCGGTCCCTAGAAACCCAAACTCCACCCCTAACCCCAATTTCCACCTGGCAGGAGCTCGGTGAACACAACTCCAAACTCGTCACGGCTGTTAACCCTGAAGTGACTTCCTGCATCGCCCCTCCAAGCTTTCCACTTTGTGTAATTCCTGCTTTCCCAAGGCTCTGGCTTGTTTCCTGAGCAGGCTGGCATCATTTCAGCTCCAGCTACGCTGTAGCCTTCTTCCGGAAAAGCTTATGCAAATGAAGCCCAGTGTGGCATATCGCCACACTTCATTTGTATAATTAATTAGCAGCTGCTTTTGTGCAAAAAGGAGCCGTGTAGACGGCTGCTTTTTGTGCAAACACCCCTCTTGTGCAAGAGCCGTTCCTCACTTTTTCAGAAAGAACTGCTCTTGCACAAGAGGGGTGTTTGCACAAAAAGCAGCCGTCTACACGGCTCCTTTTTGCACAAAAGCAGCTGCTAATTAATTATACAAATGAAGTGTGGCGATATGCCACACTGGGCTTCATTTGCATAAGCTTTTCCGGAAGAAGGCTACAGTGTAGCCGTAGCCGAATTCCTTTCCTCCAAGTCTTCCTTTCCTCCCTCTTCTACCGAATCTCCCACAACAGTCCTCCAGGATTTCCATGGATTTAGAGGGTAAGGAGAAGGGCCGTGCTTCTCAGAACGTCTCTCGGATGCTGCTGTCACAAAAGTGCTCAGGCACCAGGTCCCTTCCCCAACCTTGTCTCCAGCAGTGAATGCTGCCTTTAATGCCTGACAGGCGCATTTGGTTCCTATTGTCCAATCTTATCCCAAGGGCTGTCAGGGCTAGAGAGTTGTTCTAGACCAGTGTGTCTCTACCAGTGGTCCAAGTACCCTTAGGGGTACCTGAGAGAAGTCTGGAGGGTCCGTCAACACAACTGAAATTTGGAGAAAACTGAATTTTTGTTGTAAGTTTTACAGCCCTTTATTATTTTTCTCCTTTTTACACTAAAAAATTTCATCACCTGCTTGGCTACGATTAAGCTGTTGAAACACGTGTTGCAATGGTAGGGAAAAAAATGGTGTGTCTGAAAACTGTAGGTACTGGGGGTACTTACCTTTTTCTTTTAATGGGGTACTTTATAAAAAAAAAGGTTGAGAAACACTGTTCTAGATGAAGATAGGGTGTAAATGTCACCTGGAGTAGAAGTTGAAAGAAGAACACTGTTCCTTCAACTTTCCTTATTCCTTATAAAAGGAGGGTTACCATGAGTCGGAGTAAGAAGACCTCCAGTTTGACATTATGTCAAAATAAAGGCTTGTAGTGTAGATGTGCTTCTTGTTAGTTTGGAATAACACTGCTGTGTAGACAAACCCTTAGGCTCTGTCTACACTAGTGGCTTCTTGCCCGAATAATATGCAAATGAGGCTAAGCATGGAATATCGCCGAGCCTCATTTTCATACCTAATGAGCCACCATTTTTTTCAGAAGAGGCTCTTG